GAACATTGTCAATGTTCCAAAACTACTCTCGGTTCTTTGCGCTATAATTTTAGACAGCATTCGAAACTTTGCTTCTTTAAATGGTTTAGATCGTAATTCGATGTATTTCGATGCTTTCCATTTTAACTTTTCATAGATCTCATTTTTGATAGCAGCCTCCGAATTTTCTTTCTTAAAATCAACTGTGACATACAAATGAGGAAACGGCATCTTCTTGTTTGGGCGAGCTATTCCATACTTCCCACTAAGCCACGAGCAACTTAAACAAGAAACGACAACTACATATTGTCTAAAAAACTATTTTTCTTAATGTTCCGACATGCACAGGTCAACATACATAATCGATATCCCATGAAAGAAAAATTACCTTTGTAGAGCCTCGTGAACGTCAGCTTTAATATTCTTACTTTTGTCTAGAAGTTTATGGAAGTTGACGTCATGATTGGCTTCTAAATATCATAAAAATATAATTGATAACTTTGGTGCACCAACATTAACTACAATGAAACTTCCATAGAATAAGACATAAATAAGACTAAAAATTGACTAATCATATACATGGGATCATAAATTACTTTGCTCTGGATTCTGTGTCGAATACCTGTTTTGCAATATCATCTATTTAAAAAAATCACAGCAGGAAGTACACTGATAAAAAGATTTTTTTGAGTGTTATCGCAGTGCGCTGCGTAGTGTGAATAAATATTTGGAAAATTTACAAGTATTATATTCGGAATAGAAAAAAACTAGAATCCTGATGCAAATAAGCTTAATATATCTTATATGAGATGTTTTCAAACTTTGTTTAGAACGCAGGAACACAAAACAGAAAAGAAAATTTTCTCATACATTTTAACAGTAAGAATCATTTGTTCGTTATAAGTTATAACATACTTTCAACATATTGAAGACGCTGTATTTTTTAGTTACTTTAACTGCACGTAGCTAGAGTGCTCAGTTCCTAATTTTTAGAACGAATAAATGCTTTCAAATATTATGCTATTTCAATAAATTCACTGTTGTTAGCAGAGCAAGGAAGGTGTGTTATGTACTGCAGCAATTCTGACTAACTTTGTAAACTTTTCTATCAATTTTACTATTTGTTATTTAGTTTATAAAAGTTTTATTATCAAATGGTACATTAGATTAACCAAAAACTCCAACTCTTGCTGCAATAAAAAAAACGTTTACAAATAATTGCTGCAAGCAAAGCAGAGAGCTTCTATATTCTGATGTGTGTACGATATCAAGATTTTTATGGTATGTACAACCATCAAAATGCAAGCAAAGCAGAGAGCTTCTATATTCTTATGTGTGTACGATATCAAGATTTTTATGGTATGTACAACCAGCAAAATATTATGAACGACGTAATGTTAAATTTTGCGCCATTCATCAAGGTGATGAAATGTACAGATGATATGTACAGGCACTTCGTTTTCTATTAGACATTTTTAGTTGATAAAAAAGAAATTTTGAACAGTATTGTTACAAATCAAACGAAATAGACTAACCAACGGTAAGACAAATGAAAAATCTCTTCAGGCTATATATTTTATAGATCAAATTCAAACATCTCTAACAGTTTTTTTAACAATGGTATTTAGAAAAAGAAAAAATACATGCTAAGTACTTTAAACATAGAAGCTGATTAGTATCTGTATTTTATAGGAAATAAATAGTGACATACGATCTTTTATAGTTATTTGCTTAAAAAATGTTCTTATCTTATTTGATATCGTTCAGCTGTTATGTCTTTCTTGTATTTCTATAGAGAATGCAACGTAGATTTTTTTTACATCAGAAACCATCTAACGTCAGATGGATTAAGTCCTATGTCAAGTTAAAAATGAACACCAATTCGTATAACAAACCATACAAAGTGTAACAACCTTTTCAGATACCTCCAGTCACTCAGTAAACCATCACTTACGAACATTGAATAATTGACCAGTGGGACGATGACTGCTCAAACTAAGAAAATAAGAAATATTCAACTTATATTATATGTAGGATGATCATGCATGTGTAAACTAAAACAAATTTAACGAAATATTGCAGTAAGTTCAAAGGCGTGACTAAAACGTGAATTGGGGGGGGGGGTTGTGTATTCATATATTTAGTTTTGCTCCACTGATTTCTTTTGAAAATGAATTAGCAAAAGAAAGTCGGGCTATATTAACGTTCTAGTCACACTTCTGTATAAGTTATAAATATAAATAACAATGCAAAAATAGAAATGGTCAGTAGTTTTACAGATTTGATGATTATATCGCATTCTTAAATGAACAACATACAGACCACTGCATAAAAAACATAGTTGGCAAGTTTGCTATAACTACAAAGAAGGTTCTTACTTGCTGTTTCCAGTAACTTTATTAACAACATTTCTAACTATACTAGGAGGTCTAATTAACTCTTATCAAACCTCATATATGATGACACAATTTTCCTTAATAATTGTCTTAGTACTGCAAGTTTCCAATTAAAAACGTTAATGTTCATCTTCTTGGTCCTCAGTCTAAAGAAGACTCACCAACTTTACCAAACTTATCTTCAGTTGATGATCATAAAGATTTTTTCTCCGTCATAGGTAATAAGCTAAAAATAATAAGTCGATAAAGTGTAAAAGAGAGTTATAAGTGAAATATGATAGATTTTGCTGATGACATCGCATTGCTGTCTGACAATCTCCAAGGTGCCCAATCTCTCCTTTCTTCTCTTGAGTCAGCAGCCAACTGTGCAGGTCTTCATCTCAATGAAACGAAGACTGAATTTATGCCAGTTAACATCCGCAACAATCAGGAGATCAAAACACTGTCAGAAAATATTCTGAAATGTGTTGAAGACTACCAGTATCTGGGATCACACATAAAGAACTCAGAGAAAGACTTAAACTTTAGAAAAGGTATTGCATGGACTGCCTGCAACAAATTGGATAAGATCTGGAAATCCAACCTTGATCGGAAATTTAAAATCCAAATTTTTCGAGTTCTTGTTGAGCCCATCTTATTGTACGGTTCTGAGACTTGGACTCTTTCAGCCAAACAACAACAGCGTTTAGATGGATGTTATACACGTCTCCTAAGAAGAGTCCTTAATCTCTCTTGGCAAAACCACCTAACTTTAGAAACAATATATGGAGACCTACCAAGAGTATCAAACTTAGTTTGTAAGAGACGTGTTCAGTTCGCAGACCATTGTGCACGTGCAACTGATGAACTAGTGTCATCATTTGTACTTTGGAGACACCCATCATCTGAGAATAGATCACGCAAGTTAACCTTTCCAGATAGGATAAGGCGAGACACAACAATTCCTAAGGAAAATCTGTTAGCAGCTATGAAAGATAGAGAATACTGGAAAGATGTGGTGCATTCAATCTCGGCTGAGGCCGCAAGATGATAATGATGATGCAGATAAAATACAATGCACTACATACAAGCAGAGATGTTCTGCTTCTACTCGATTTTAATTTTTTTTATCCTTGTCATTGACTCTCCTTAATTTGAAAATAATGTTTTGAAGTGATACATGTTTACTGTTAATATTTACATTAAGGGTATCAATTAAGTCTTTGTCATTCCATCGACTAAAAAAACAACTGAAACTCTCGAGAAAAATATCCTTACAAACAATTTGATGTGCTTAATAATATCTGAGCTAAAACACGAAGTTATTGGTCCACAGACCTCAGTTATGTAATAATCATATGTATATAATTATTGTCTGACAAATGGCAAGCCAGAACCCCAGAATCAAAGTGCTTCTGTAATGGCGCATCTTGTGAGAATTGAAACTAAGTTGAAGGTAAAGTTTTTAGGCAGCAACTGGGATTACAAGATTTATAGCTTTTAGCAAAAGTAGACAATAAGAATACTACTTTAGCAAAAGTAGACAATAAGAATACTAAAATGATAACATAGGTGTATTGTGCCACGAGTCTTGTGCAGGGACCGCAGAACAGGGGGAGCTTTGGAGATGTAACCCATACTACCCTAGTAATTTAGCCACCTAGTTAAATTTGTCTTCGGACCTCCAACTTGTACCAGTTAAAGTTTGGGCAGTAGCTTGTTGTGTGTATGTAGTGTTTGTAGATCGTGTGAATGTAAAAGAAAAGCCAGTGATTTGGAAAATAAATTGTAGCTTTAATACATATTATATTTTTTATAACAATGTAATTGATCATAAATATTTCCAAAGAATCAGTTATGTCCTGCTAATCTAATTACAAATAAAAAGTGTCAAATTTTAAAATAATCCAAAAGTAAGGTGTTGTAGTTTACTGTCCAATACTGGATTCACCATTGTGGTGGATCAATGTTATATAAAAACATAAATTTTATATGAATACATAAATGGTAAATGATCTAGAAATGTATTGTTTGTTCCACAAAAGAAATCAATCCGTCACACTTGAGAAGTCTTCGAAGCTGACATTTTCGAGAAATTCAAGATTTTTTAAGGCATCTTTTAATCTCAAACAAACATAGTATGTCTCGTCTCCGTCGATCGCTTTAGCAACGCCATAAGCAAACGGTATTTTTTTCTTATTCTTATCATAATAATACATCAGTGATCCTGAATCTCCTTTCTCGAGAAATTCGTGATCACTCTTTACTGCCACCACGTCATTATATACAGGTGTTTCATTTTCCTTGGAACGATAACTATAAGTGACGTCTAAAATGGTGTTCTCCCCGGATTCCCTACCAGCTTTATAAACTTTTTGACTTTCATCATTTCCTGACGGAAATTCGATAGCGTCATTAAAAGATCTCGGTACCTCTATTTTAGCTGCAGTAAAATTAGTTGCTTTATCATCAACCAAGATGGTCATAATATCGGTTTCTTGATGATATGAGTAAGCAGCCAACTTGCCAAGAGCTTTTTCAGTTTTAAATTTGACTGTGCTGCCACTGGAAAGTTCATCTACAAAATTTAACACGAAACAATGTCACTAGACTTTGAATCTCTCAAACAAAAAATATCAAGTTTACCAAATTTTGAAGTTGACTCGGCACTCAGAAGATTAATTTTTCTTTTTTCTTCAACTAAAAGGTTAAAGTTATCATTATTCACTCATGAAAATATTTCGTGCAATTCTTAGCTACAATCCTCAGCACTGCTTACACATAATTTATTATCATTATTTCAATTTATGATTTTCTCACTAATAAAAAATCCCACCACATTAGATATACCTTTGAATGTTGATGCACTGCTTCTTGGTTCTTCAAGACAGGTAAACGAAAATGAACTTGACTCTAAAACAAATAAAAGTTATCGTAAAACACATAAACTCTTTCACCTCAGTAAAGAATATGCCAGGTTTTTTTAAACAGGAATATACAGTGCCATTTCGAATTTGAATTATATGATAGTTGTATCATTTGGACTTTTAACACCTTTTGATGAAAATATGACAGAAAAGCATCATATATTTGCGCATAGATCGTGAAACAAACATTTAGCTAATGCAATCGATGTTTTCTAATGACAATACAAAGTAAAACCTTACAACTATATAAATGATCATGGAGCTATATAACATAGGTACGTTGTGGAAACTCAGCAGCAGAGTATAAGAATAAATAATTTTGCAAATAGTTGATTTACGTTTCTTTCCATCAACTACTTTGTTTTCCACAACATGTATGGTATCTAGAAATATTTGCTAGAGTAATTACTTAAAATCAAGCGATATTAAATACACATATATTTTATAATTTAAGCAAACAAGTAGAGTGAAAATTACTATCAAAGTTTCGACATTGTAAATCGTAAATTGAACTCTACATATAGCTACTTAATTCGTATACACTAAAAATAATTTCGAATGCTTTACTTACTCGTGAAATGTTTTTTGAGATCAGGTCTTGTTTTCCAGTCAGTCAACCTTATGACTTTGTGCACCAGAAGAGGAAGTTCGGGAAAACGTTGCAGGAAATACTTTTTATAATTTCCTTCTTTCACATGTTGTGATAGATGCGGACGAGGTTTATTTTGCCAATGTTGGTCAACGTTTCGCATAAATCTTAAACAACTTGCCCATGACGACTCATAATTAACTCTTCTGTTACTATTTTGAAAAGTTGTGAACTCTTCTAATACTTCATCGTCGATAAGCTCCATCCATTTTGAATGACAATCCAACAGCTTACGAACATCTGAATTTTGACATTGTGGTTGTTTTATCTCCGGTTGGTTCCCAACATCACACAGCATGTCAAACATTTCCTCACTGGTTTGTAGATAAGGATGTTTTAACGCCTCGTTGGCTGATGGCCTGAGTTCAGGCTTATGCTGTAGCATCCATGAAAGAAGATCATTTAGTTGAACATCATCGATTTTCTTCAAGCCAACAGGGTTTCCATCTGACAAGTTTTTCAATCTATACTCTTTAGTTCCAAAAGCATGTTTTCCTTTTGTTGCAACATAATAAGCCACCATTCCTGCACTCTGATATTAATAAAAAAAAACCATAAATAGTCACAACATCAACTGTAATTTTTTAACGAACATATCTACCATTATATCAGACTCTTTCTTGTAACGACCATCATCCAAGGATTCATGAGCGGACCAACCATCAGTTCCTCTACCAGGACTGCTTCGATATGTTGATTTATCACCACTTTTCAATATTCGACTAATGCCAAAGTCAGCTATCATAAATTTGCCTTCCACGTCTTGAAGAACATTAGATGGCTTTAAATCTCGATGAAGAATAGAGCTTGGGCCACTATGAAGATCAGATAATCCATTTAAAATTTGTCTAAAGATTTCGGGAAGGGCTTCGCGAAGTTTATCTAAACTAGTAGACTTAACAAAACTTGTCAAAGTTTGTTCGCACAAGTCTAATATCAAATAGACAAAATCTTCTCCTTCCTCTTCTACGAAGTTCCAATACTTTACAACATGCTTCGACTTCTTTGCGTTTGGCTCATTTAAAACATTCTTTTCTGGTAGAGCAAGATAGGGACAGCTACTTTTAAGGATTCGTTTTACAGCTTTTCCATAACCATCCTTTCCCAAACCAAGATAAACACAGGTTCCACCACTTCCTTCGCCAATCAAGAACTCGTTCATGAAAATTACACGTACATCGCCTTTAATTCTAATATCACTTGGATGTTCAAGCCAATGTTTTTGCATCATTTCAAACTTTTCGCGATGCATCACTGATTTGTCAACGCAATTCCATTCTTGCGACAACCCAACTTAAAATAATTGTATACCATTTAAGAAAAATGTAAAAAATAGTCAAATAGTTAATAGACATTTTAATAATTCTAATATTAATGTGGTGTAAAAGTTTTCATCAGTCTAAAATTTCAGTACGCCTCTGGCTGTGTTAGTTTCAAGTGCAAGCACAAATCGTGGTTTCAAAGTACGTTTGCTACATAATCATGAGCATATATTTAAAATTGCTTAAATATAAACTGCGAAAATGTGACCTACCTTTTTACTTTAGATAATGAACAGGAATGTGGATTCGATATGCAACATTTTTATTGCAAACAATTAGCTTTATATTTTACATAGTGTCTTACCAAAATTGTGATATTCATTGATGTGTATCTGGGGTAGAAACTTTAGATTGAGTATTTTGTTGTCGGTTTTCTCGTATGTCGCTGTAGTAAAAAGAACGATAAATAATAATAACATAATTAACATAACAGAAACCATTGCAACCACACTGCAAAAAAATGGCAAAGAATTGAAATTTAACTGTTCTAATCTTGTTAACGTTAATTGGCTGTGAATTATAAGAAAAGTATTACAGTTGTGACTCAAATTTACTATCATTAGTAACACAATAAGAATTTTTTCAAAAATCTAACATAAACATTTTTATTATTCTATTTTTCATCGTAACACCCAGAGATACTTGTAACCATACTCTACCCCCTGGAGAAGTCGCAAATGACAGTTGTCAGATGCTCATCATCTTTTTATGAACATTGCGTTTTTTAGTCTATTATATATTTGTTAGCTTTTGACGCACAATTGTTTTGTATTCGTTCAAACTCGGTACTTAAAAATCAATGTTTGTTTATATATTTGGTAAAGCTTATGACGTAGTTTCTAAAGGTACGTTTACACAAAATGTTTTGTCGAGCCGACATTTACAGGTACGTTTACACACAACGATTTGTCGGACCGACACTGACGCCATATTACGTATTCTTGTCATTCATGGAAAGTCGCTGGACTCGAAAAATCAGATGAAAATCTGTAGCAAACTATAGATTTGTTACCGATTTTTACTATGTTGCTATAGTTTCTAAAATAAGCAAATTATGACCATCGAAAATAATTATCGAAATGTCTTCTGTCAACACAGAAAATGAAAGTGTTGAGAACATTGTTGTTTTCATCGAATGACCAAAAGCTGTAGAGTATTTTATAATGCGTCTGTTTAAACATCAAAAATAGTGAAAAGTGTAGTTTAATAAAAACTTAATAAAAACTTATACTTTGTATAAGTTTTTATTGCAATTAAGTCAATAACCATAAACTTTTATTATTTTTGTAATATACAGAAAGATTATACTAACCTTCTAGCAGATTTTGAATTCTCGTCAGTTCTACATTATGAAAAAATAAACAATAAAAACAATATTACACTTGACAGTTCGACTAATTCACAGTCAGCGTTTTATAAAACTGTAATTATCTTAAAACAAACAAACTTATTTTAACATTCACAAATGAAAGGTTAAGTCAAATACTAAAATCAAAAACGTCGGAGGAGGTAGAAGAATAGTGGATGAATTTCAATGAAATCTGTCTTATCCTGATACAAACATCATGAATAAACAAAAACAATAGATTTTCCAGGCGGGAAATAAAATCTTATAATGGACATTAGAACCCAGTTTATTTCAATAATTTGAATTACCATTACAAAAATAAGAAGGGTTGAAAATTCGAAATAAGCTTTCACGAACTAATGGTTCGAGATTTAAATTAGAATGAGAAGAAGATATTATGGAAAAATTTTCAGGAAAGGAGATATGTCCTGTTTCATTACAATGTTTATAGATACTGGACAACGAAACTAATTTGCATTTTTTCCCGTCAAAGCGAGAATCCCAAATGTTTTGAGATTCGTGTGTGAAAGTATCGACGTGTTTGGCCCACATACAAAGCTCCGCATTCACACGTAAATTTGGAAACTACAGGAGATCTCAGGAGTTTGGGAATCTGGTTTTTAAGCCGCATTTTTGCCACACCTAACACTGATACTAATAACACAGACGTTGACACTACCGAAAACAACATGCATTTTAGCAGCTTTTTACTGGTAAACACGCTGTTCAAGTTCAAACACAACTAACTTAATTCTGCTTGTCTGCTTCCCTTTATGTTCCGTTCTGGTTGCCGAACGTCCGATTTCTTTCCCTTCAAAGAGCTGGTTGTCATTCTTCTAGCCTTCCTATGATTGGTTAATCTCTCCATTACTACTTAATTTACTCGACATTGTAAATACTGTAGCTACTTTTTATTGTTATTTTGCAACTTTATAAAAATATTCTGAAGATGTCGCGTGTAGCGACGAAACGTCAATAAAATTACTAAAAATCCTTTATTACATTCTTATTTTTGCAATAACAATTCATATAGTTGCAATAAGCTGGGCTGTAATGTTCATAAAAAATTACAAACAAAAGCGTTTAAAGCCGGTTTGCCAAAGAGTTTAAAGGTGTTGAAACACTGTGTTAAAAAAAATGAAAATTGGAAAAAAGCAATCTTTCGTAAACGAGAGTTTTACCAACCAAAGAATACACCTAATGCAGCCTATGAAAAACAACTAACAACCAATACATTGAACATTCATATTAGGCTTTACGTAGCGCGTCATAACCGAGATGGAAAGAATCTACGCAAAATTCCTACTGAATCCACAGCGGCACATGCAGCCACATCATTATCAACTAAAGTTACTGTACGCATACTTTAGTTTTAATATATCTCATAAGACTAGGAATATGATCATTTATGACTCAACATTGCAAATAAAATAGCAACCCTAAACAACCATATTATTATCAGTATGCTGCAAGATAATAACAAAGATAATACCTTTACGAAGTCTTCGTTGCTCATCTGCATTATATATAAATAAACGACAAAACAACATAATGTTTAGGTTTACACATGACAAGTTTGATTCAAAAGTTAAAAAAGAAGTACAAGACAGTGGATCAAAGTAGAAATTACACTTCATTTTTCAATTCAATTTCAACACCGTGTATATTTAAAAGCCTCAAATAACCTAAACAGTCATACTTAAGTTTCTACATGTGAGAAGGAAGTGCAAAATAATTTAAGCATCATTGTTATATGGCAAGCGTCATTTCCGGCTAAATGATGCGCTTTGAATGGCTCAGAAATCTTTTTGCCGGTCCATCATTTTACCGTAATCGACCACGGTCCAAAACGCGTAATTTTACTGTCAAATGTAAACAAACTTTGTAAAGCAAACAATAAAACGCAAAATAAACAAAACAAAAACCATTTACGAATGTGATTCGAAGGAAAAACACTTGGAAAACAGTTTAACTATCCAGACGATACAATTTGAAAGGAGTTTAGTTTTTATGGAGGAAAACTAGAAAAGTGAAAATCAACCCGTAAAAACAGCAAGGAAGAGAAAAAAAGCAAGCTTCGTTTCAGGTTAAATAATGCCATATAATAATCCTTTTGATATCCTCGCTTTCTCGGTCTTTACTGAGAAATATCGGACCGTTACCTTTTTTTACAAACTTCGCCATCTCGGTCCTTTATTTCTCCGTATAGACCTCGCGCTCGGTCATTAAAGGCTTAATAAAAACTTATACTTTGTATGACTTATTATTGCAATTATGTCAATAGCCATAAACTTTCATTATTTTTGTAATATACAGAAAGATTATACTAACCTTCTAGCAGATTTTGAATTATCGTCAGTTCTACATTAAGAAAAAATAAACAATAAAAACAATATTACACTTGACACTTCGACTAATTCACAGTCACCGTTATATAAAACTGTAATTATCTTAAAACAAACAAACTTATTTCAACATTCACAAATGAAAGGTAAAGTGAAATGCTAAAATCAAAAACGTCGGAGAAGGTGGAAGAATGGTGGATGAATTTCAATAAAATCTGTCTTATCTTGATACAAACATCATGAACAAACAAAAACAATAGATTTTCCAGGCGGGAAATAAAATCTTATAATGGACATTAGAACCCAGCTTATTGCAATAATTTGAATTGCCATAACAAAAATAAGAAGGGTTGAAAATTCGAAATAAGTTAGCTTTCACGAACTAATGGTTCGAGATTTAAATTAGAATGAGAAGAAGATAGTATGGAAAAATTTTCAGGAAAGGAGATATGTCCTGTTTCATTACAATGTTTATAGATACTGGACAACGAAGCTGTTTTGCATTTTTTTCCGTTAAAGGCGAGACTCCCAAATGTTCTGAGACTCGTGCTTTGCCGTGAAAGTATCGCCGTGTTTGGCCCACATACAAAGCTCCGCATTGACACGTGAATTTGAAAACTACAGGAAATCTCAGGAGTTTGGGAATCCGGTTTTTAAGCCGCATTTTCGCCACATCTAACACTAATAACACAGACGTTGACACTACCGAAAACAACATGCATTTTAGTATGCTTTTTAATGGCAAACACGCTGTTCAAGTTCTAACACAACAAACTTAACTTTGCTCGTCTGCTTTCCCGCACTTATCACTTCACTTTATGTTCCGTTCTGGTTGCCGAACGTCCGATTTCTTTCCCTTCAAAGAGCTGGGTTGTCATTCTTCTAGCCTTCGTATGATTGGTTAACCTCTCCATTACTACTTAATTTACTCGACATTGTAAATACTGTAGCTACTTTTTATTCTTATTTTTTAACTTTATAAAAATATTCTGAAGATGTCGCGCGTTCCGACGACACGTCAATAAAATTACTAAAAATCCTTTATTACATTCTTATTTTTGCAATAACAATTCATATAATTGCAATAAGCTGGGCTCTAATGTTCATAAAAAATTACAAACAAAAGCGTTTAAAGCCGGTTTGCCAAAGAGTATTAAAGGTGTTGAAACACTGTGTTAAAAAAAATGAAAATTGGAAAAGAGCAATCTTTCGTAAACGAGAGTTTTACCAACGAAAGAATACACCCTATGAAAAACAACTAACTACCAATACATTGAACATTCACATTAGGCTTTACGTAGCGCGTCATAACCGAGATGGAAAAAATCTACGCAAATATACTGCGGCGAATGCAGCCACATCATTATCAACTAAAGTTACTGCACGCATACTTTAATTTTAATATATCTCAATTTTGTCTGGGTAAACAAGTTAAGAGAGAAGTACAAAATAAAAGTTTAACGTATCAATCGTATTTTAGTTGCGTGTATGTAAAAAAAAAGTAATTTGTTTTCAATATAGTGATTATATAACATGTATGTACAGTGTCGAACGATGTAATAACTTGTACTTGCTTTGCCCTTGTTTAAAGGTATTTACTAAGAGGACACTGCAAGTGTACAAAAACACCCAGATTGATTTTGGACCACATACATGCAGTACCCTGGGCATGCACTATGTGTATTTCATTGTTTATAGGAAAAGTAACATGAAACAGTGCAAAACATGACTGATTTAACAAAAGAAGTAAACTTATGTAAAACAATTTGAATAAAGACTTTAGAAATTGGACTTATTTAAGAAGCAACGTTTCCATGTAGCTTATTCATGACATGCACATTATTCGATAACATCTTCAGGCTAACCATATCCATATAATATACTACTGGAGAAGTTATAGTAATGTGGCAAACTTTCGTGGTTTTATCATCAAAGGTAATAATTGTGGTCGTTTATAGTTGGATTATTACTTCTAGTAAAGAAACAATAATAGCTTGTTTCGTAGTTTTCATAATACTAAACTTCATTTACAACAATGGAGGTTATTGTTCATGCAATGAAATTAAATGTTTTTGTTGCTTATGCTTTATATATGAAGATTCATCATCAGTAAATGTCATGACCTCCAAGAAAATATTATTTTAATATTTACGGAATGAAAGATTAATTAATTTACAATTGGTTTTCTTATCGCTAAAAAATTGCAAGGATATGGTTAGGGACAACATATTTTCTTAAAAATAATGAACTTTATTCAATTATTCTAATTTTATTGTCGTAAAAACCTGATTTTAAATAATGACAGCGAAATTCAGACATCAGAATTTTGCGTTAGAACGCATTGAATCGTAATAGTAATAATGGAAAATAAAACAATTTAGAGCTCTTTGACCACAATTATAAGTCAAGGAGTGTAAAAATATTGATGACACCCCGTACTATACTACAACCGTGACTATTTAGAACAAAGCCTCCTTTCCATTTGCAATGTGAAAAATACCAATGAAAATAATATTATGCACATTTATACGTTTTATGGTGACAGTTTGACTCATTTAGAGAAAATTGGCCAAAAACATTTGTCATAAGTATTGTTTTTAGTACTTACTTTCCAGCAGCGTAGACAATAAAGATTCTGTGAAATTGAAAAAAAAAACAGTCATTTCTCACTTACACACGACAGGTTCAATAATTAATACAAACATAAATTTGTCATATCGTATTCTGAGTTCTTTGACTACAATTATAAAAAATGGAGCGTAAAAATATTTATGACTACTGTTATTTTATTTAGAACTGTAGAGACAGATGAACTGTGATAACAGAAAACTGCATGTAGTAAAATAAATTGAAAGGAAAAAGCAAGGTACAAAACAAAATTACAATGTAGCACATGAATGTACATTGAAAATAGTTTTGGCTTCAGTTAAGTAAATGTTATTAATCTCCATGAAATGAACATCATTTACAGACTATCGACCAAAAAATGTTTATATTACGTTACTATTTATGACACACGAATAAATAGTGTCTTGAAGTGTCGGCAATATAATTTATCTATAAAATGAAATGATAGGGTGTTTTTGTGTTACCTTCAGAACTTCCCGAGTCTTTGGTGCCAAATTTTAAAATTTCCGAGTCTTTAGTGCCAATTTCCGAAATTCCCGAGTCTTTGACGATCATTTCTGAAATGCTCGAGTCGTTCGTATCCATTTCTGAATTTCTCGAGTTTGTGGAGTCACAGAATGCAATGAAAATGTCGAGTCTTTAATTCTGTGAACGAACAAACACTTATTTATTTGCGTTCACAGGAAAACTGGAGAAACGTGAACTAGGTATTACAAAGAAAAAAGCTAGGTTTTAAAACATCATTAAACTTTGTAACCCGTCCGTCTTCAAGATAGAATAGAAATATTGGCCTTAAAAGATATGAAAATGAACAGTACCATTTTAATGTTAAAAAATTTAAATTTTGTATATGATAGCAATACTTTTACACGAAAACATATGAATTAGTAAATGTCAATCTTTGTTTTTTTTTCAATAAACCATGCTAGTTCAAAAATTGCCAACTTTAGACAGGAAAGTTTTCCTGTAAGTGTTTAAAAACAACACACACTTAACAACATTTTCAACAAACAATGCTTGTTCAAAGACTTGCCAACTTTATGAAAACAATCGAAACTTAACGACAATGTAGAAACGTCATGTTCATTTGAACGATAAATATGATTTTCAACAACGTCATTATCCCAGCAGTAAAAGAAACTTGTTTTTATTTGGATAGGAAAATGATAATTTTTGAAGAATGCAGATGTATGGTGGCCTATGAGTGCCATAGTAATTTCTAGTGTTTCCACTCCATTATTAATATTATTTCATTTCTATTTATTTACAAATCAAACTTGATTTATTTCACAGTTTGAATTAATTATTTTTTTAACAGTTCAATTATAGTTTTGTTTCAGTTTTGTTTTGTTTAAGTTTGGCTTTTTCTCCAAATCAGTTCAGTTTTCCAAAAATAAACTGAATCAATCAAATGCCATGGCCTATGAGTGCCATAGCCCACAATTCCCTGTAATTCTCACCTCATAAACCCTATATTTCCATATTACATGAAGTGGGTTCTATACTTTATAAATATGGCGGAACGCATAAGGAACTCTGATTGGGAAAATGATGAAGAGATGAGACATGATCTTGAAAAATATGTACAGCGAAATTTAAAACGAAAAGAGATACTAGACTTTATGTCTGCAGATTATCCCATGTATGCATTTGCACTTTAAGTCGCAGGCTTCAACATTTTAATATTAAATACACAAACTACGACATTGCATTGGAAGACGTTAAAACAGCTGTCAAAAAGGAGTTGAACGGTCCTGGCGTTCTTCTAGGTTATCGGGCAATGCAGCAAAAGGTAAGAGAGGTGCATGGACTCAATGTCTCACGCGACTTAGTTTACGCTGTAATGGGTGAAGCTGACCCAGAAGGACTGCAATCACGAGGTGGAATTGGAAAACCGAAACGACCACGTAGGACAAACGCGTTTGTTAGTCGAGTAAGTCAGCCACCTTATTTTATTTGTGTTGCGATAAGTAAAATATTAATTGCTTTGTTTCAGGATATTCCTAGTATTTCTTTAAAACTATGCGGCTTTTTTGTGATGAAAATTTACATCATCTTAAGCTTTATTCTAAAAACCAGTATTGTGTTTCTACCATTTGATGAGTGGTGTAAGGAACAAGCTAAAAGAAATTTCTGTGCACAACAATTTGCACTATGTGGGTGGAAAACAAGTTTGTAGTAAAAAATCACCATGCAAATTTGATTTTCAAAGTTTAAAGGAGGAGCACTTGAGGGTGGACAACAAAATTTTATTGAGGCATGTATCTCCCCTTAGCAATGCCACTTCTGAAAACTGCTAACTTGAGCCTTCATTTTATTAAATTATAACAGGGATCAAACTCTACAATGTCCTTAGATGGGCATGATAAGCTTTGTGGCTATCAGAAATCTATGTTTCCTTTGTGCATCTATGGTGGACTGGATGTATACAGTGGCAGGGTTAACTTTCTGAAAGTGTGGACAACTAACAACAACCCATTGGTTATTGGACGATTCTATTTTGAATATCTGTTTAAGGCTAGGGGTAAGATATTTTGAATTTCAATTTTATATTGTTCACTTTTTTTATGTTCCATATGTTTTCTGGATGAAAATAGTGAGAATACAATCAAAATTTTAAAGTCTATTATCTTTTTTGTCCAGTTTTGCCACAAACATTAAGGTTAGACAGAGGGACAGAAACTGATGTCATGGCAACAATTCATTGCTTCCTACGAGGTGATTTGCATAACGCTTTAGATGCTATAATTTATGGACCTTCCACTCAAAACAAGATTGAAAGGTGGTGGAGGGATCTTCTTGAGAGAATGGAAAGGTTTTTTAAGGAACAACTTAAATGCTTGGTTGAAAGTGGAGATTATGATTCCAGTGATCAAAATGACAGGTACTTATGATAATTGCATGCATTTTATTTCAAGTCATGCCTGATGTTAGTGCTTTTGTGTAAATTGTAGAAATTAATTGTAAATTTAAATGGTAAAATCGAGAGAAACGTATTATATCTTTGTATGTACTTATACAATATATTTGACAACATGCAAACACTCTACTTGTTTCTTAAAGAGACTTACTGGCTTATGTATACATCCCAATAATTCAAAAGGAACTAGATATTTTTCGTGAGTGTGTTTGGAATAAGCACAGAACACGTAAACAGAAAGGAAAAGAACTGCCAGCAGGAATTCCAGAACACATATTCCATTTTCCAGAGAAGTATGGTGGTGAACAATGTGGAATTGATATTACAGAAGAACAACTGCTTGAGGTTTCTGAGTTATCAAATGTTTTGGAAGACAATGATGATTATTTAAGACCAGCTGTTGGTGAAGAGTGTAAGAAGAATTTGCCCCAAATACATGAAATTAATCCCAGTGATGCTAAGGAAGCTTATTTATACTTAAAGAGTCATGTTGATGTGAATATTTTTCAAGACACAATACAAACTCGCTTTATTAAAATCGTATTTTGAAAACTGAACTTAATCAAGTAATTTGAACAAAAACATTATTACTGTCAATCAAACTTGATTTAAAATGTCAGTCAAAACTTAACTATATTATCTACATTTCTTTGAGCTTAAGCATAAGGCAAAATTTGTTGCAAACATGCTCTACCTTAAACCTATCAATGGCATCTGTCGAAAGGTTGCCACAGCAAAAGAAAATTGTGCTGTCAATCTCATCAATAAGAGTTGAACTTGCAACCTCTGGATCAAACAAACTATGATCTACTCCCTGGATGTCCAAAACCATTAGCTGTTGTCCAGACTTCTCATAGGTATAGTGACAGAATGATTCTGCCTTGAGTGTTACCTCACAACTCCCACAAACTTGACCAGTGCTGTTGACATACTTTTGAAATTCACCCTCTACATAATTTTCCAATGTTACAAACTCACTATAGAGCCTTCCAAAGTAAACATTTGTGTAATTTAGAACATGACCATACTCAATGGGAGCCTCATTTGCTAATGTTTTTGCAAAGTTCCTAACTAGTGCATTCATTTGCACTGCTTTTCTTGTGTGCTCCTCAATTGATTTAAACAGCTGCTTTATTTCCCAACTTTTTCTTCTCGAACTTTTTTCAGCACATATTTTCCTGGCTGCAACCCTGATATGGGGGTGGCAATGTATGCATCTCTGACACCTCCACTTGCAAATTTCTGTTTGGAAATAGAGAGTGTAACTTCAAACGGCTGAGCCCATGTCTTATCACGTATTTTGAATTCTTCAATATATAGTGTAACTATTTCCTCTGTTGGTTGAATTATTTTACCAAGTTTAAGCATAGCACTCAGAGGAACAGAGGCTGCAACTTTCGTGGATATTGATGGAGGCAACGGTGTAACTAACGCTGGCGGCACCCTCACAAACAAACCCATCGACGACGTCATGGCTGCAATCCGCGAACTCGCTGTACGAGAGGAAAACACGATGGTGGCCCGCATCAAACTACACAACATGCGCCAGGACCGTGACGAAACTATCCGCAGCTTCGGTGCACGTCTTCGTGGACAAGCCAGCGTATGCAAGTTTAAGATTAACTGTCCCAACTGCGCAACAGAAATCAACTACACAGACAATATCCTACGCGACGCATTAACCGTTGGAATCGCCGACAGCGACATCCAACTAGACTTGCTCAGCGATAAAAATCAAAATATGACACTGGAGGAGGCATTTCTGTTCATAGAAGCCAAAGAAGCCGGCAGACGTTTGGCCACCCACCTACTCAATAGCCAAAGCATCGATGCTACCAGAAGCCAATATCGCCGCGGCAAACAAGAATACGACCCAGGGCGTGCAAACCAATAAAACTGGACCATGTTCCTACTGTGGCAAACATGGCCATGGTAGAAACGCCCCACCCAACATCCGACGACAGGAATGCCCAGCCTACGGCAAAACATGCGATAGCTGCGGACGCCCTAACCACAACGCCTCCATGTGCAGAAGCAAAAACAAAACTAAGCGTCGGGACGCAAAACACAACGCAAACCGAGACCAAGAGGACGCAGTGTTTGACAACCTATGCATGACAAAAAGCCATCAGCATTGCAACAACGGAATCCTGCTAAACCACCATACTTACAATGACATGAATGACCGTTGGGTGAAAAAAACCGTCACAGTCCCAACCGTTCCTCCATATAAATGCGAAGTGTCACCCAGAGGACTGCACAGCCCTCGGGTACACCCTGCATTCTACAAGACATCGCTCAGTCACATTGAATGGCGGACACTGGATGCCAGAGCTGCCTTGCTAGCATGCATGTAATGAAACGACTAGGACTACGCCAGAAAGACCTGCTTCCAGTCACTATGCGCATGCACGCTGCGAACAACAATGGCATCGATATCATCGGTGCAGCCATCGTGAGATTCTCTGGTCAATCCAAAGACGGACGGGTGTTGGAGAGCCGTCAAATTGTATATGTCACTCGTGACTCAAATAAACTCTTCCTCAGTCGTGAGACATGCGCCGCCCTGGGAATCATCCCAAACAGCTTCCCCACCGTGGGAGACACAATGTCAGTAGACATACATACTAACCAGTCTATTCACGTTGTAGCAGAACACCCATCAAAGCGCACAAGTGACTGCCAACGTTGCCAACTGCCGCCACCTAAACCCACAGTACTGCCC